GTGGGGGTGTCCTGGGGCTGCTGGAACCACTCACCGCTAACCAGAACCCCAACAGGAATCTATTCCCTCCCAGTCTGGAAACTAGAGGTCACAGGGCCATGTTCCCTCCGGAGGCTCTAGGGGAGGCTCCCCTGCCTCTCCAGCTCCTGGGGCTCCAGGTGTTCCTGGCTTGTGGCTACGTCACCCCGACCTCTGTCTCTGTCCTTACATGGTCTTCTGTGTCGTATCTGCCTCTGCCTCCCTCTTTTAAGGACACGTGTGATCACATGGGAAGCCCCCTGGGGAATCCAGCATGATCTGGACTACCTGTCATCGTGTGTTGGTTTTGCCTGACAGTGATCCAAATAAGTGACCGGGACTCTCCCGCGTGTGCACCTGTCCTTCCTTGGCATCTAAATCCCCAAATCCCTCCATGATACAACTTCCATATGTCTCCAGCACCATCCCCTCCGTTTCGGTGCCTGGTTCTCTCGGAGGAGACCCTAGTTCTCGCTGCTCTGCATCAGGCTGGTGACAGGAGACAGGTGCTGGAGGAAGCCACCTTCCACCGCGAGCTGGCGTGCGGGAAGGGGACACCTGGAGATGCCAGAGAAGTAATGTCTGAATAGGCTGAAGGGAGGAGAGGCAGCAGATGGAGGACTAGAATATTGCAGGCCGGAGCCGTCTTCCTGCTCCAGGGCAAGGGGATATGGTCAGGGGCTGCGGAGTGGCCATGGGGGTGCAGCTATAGGGGGCTCTCACCCTGGCTTAAGCTGCATTTGCACAGAGTAGGGCTGAGAGCAGTTCAAAGAGGGTGCAGGTGACATCGGCAGAGGCCCCGAAACCATGATGGCCGTGCTCCGGGCAGTGGGGACAGGCAGGGCCTGGAGCAGGCAGCAATACCTCTCCGCTGAGTCCCTGGGCTCGTGGAGGCCAGCAGGGTCAGGTCAGGAAGCCCCTGGAAGGACTCAGCCAGGACGGGGAACAGGATGGACCGAGGCCGAACTCTGCATTTACATGGCAGGCAGCTGGCAGCCATGGAAACATGGAAAACCATGCAGATGTTTAGTGCAGAGAAGACAGGACCAGAGCAGGGATGGGAGGGAGGTCACGGAGGCCTGGTGTCCACCCCTGTCCCTGCAGCCACTCCAGTCACTTCACACCCGCGCCTCAGGCTGTCCCGACCCCATGATGCAGCTTTCTAACGCCTCTCATTTCTTACGCTTCCTGTCGGGGCGGGTGAGAACCACCACGCCGCCTCCTGTGCTCTGGGAGTCTGGCCTTCCCGCTGCACTATAAATAAGCCAGCAGCCCGTCCAAGCACACCCATCCGTCTTGTTTAATAGACTGGAGAGCGCCCCACACCGCGGCAGGTCTCAAGGAGTGGTGCAGTGATGGATGGCTCCTTCCTGCGTCGGACGCATGATGTATAATGAAATATTTATGATTTATTTCAGCTAATAACCCGGCATGAAGTGCAGGGTGTGAGAGCAGGCGGGTGAAACAGCACTCCTTGCAGCGGGCGGGATGGGGGTGTCCCCAGATGCACATGCCACACATTCACACATGTATACACACTGACACACGTGTGTGCACTCACACAGCCCGCCTCACCACACCCTCGAAGCCCCAGGCTGGAGTGCAGACCTCCAGCTCCTGGTTGTCCTCCGTCCCACCCCTCTCATGCTCGGTGATGTCTGAGAAAGGACTCTGGATCCTTAGCTGGGAGGGTTCCTGCCAGGGTGATGCCCAAGAGAGGCAAGATGGGGAAGCAGGCAGTGAGCCAGTGGAGCCGGAAGTCCCTTTTCTCCTGTCAAAGACCCACATGGCACCAGGAGCGCCCCACCAGGAAAGGCCACGGTGATACCCAGCTCTACCAGGGCCCTGCCGAGGCTACGACCCGACTGCGGACATTGACAGACAGCGATCCTCTTTCCTCTCTGTTTTCAGGGGCCTGAGAGACAGGTGTCCTGGGCAGTGACAGTGCGGGCCTCTCCATGACACCTGCATAGGGTCACAGCCAGAGGGTGTTCCGCTGTCAGCACCACAGATTGAGAGCACAACTGTCAAACTTTGTGCTTGCTGCCTTGTCCCAAAATTGCCCCCCACAGAGCCAGCGTAGCAATAGTATTGATGGGCACAGATGCAGGCACCCACCCATGTCCATGTGTCCTCTGTGCCTGCCCCAGCATGCCTCCTGGTGACCAGAACCCCTTTCCTCAGGCGACACAGCCATGTTCAAGGACGGCAGCTACTGGATCCGGGGGCGCACATCAGTGGACATCATCAAGACGGGTGGCTACAAGGTCAGCGCCCTGGAGGTGGAGCGGCTGCTGTTGGCGCACCCCAGCATCAAGGGTGAGTGGCCGTGGTGCTGTCGGCAACTGTTCCCCAGGACTTGCTCCAGGGACCCCACCTCCCCGGCATTTCCTGCACGTTCTTGCTACTCTGTAGCCTGCAGTGATCACTTGGTGTTTAAGGTGCCCACCCTGTTCTGTGCACAGATGTGGCTGTGATCGGTGTTCCGGACATGACGTGGGGCCAGCGGGTTACTGCAGTGGTGACACTGGAAGAGGGACACTCACTGTCCCACAGGGAGCTCAAAGAGTGGGCCAGGTAAGGGCAGGCAGGGCCGGCGGCCCTCATGGGGTCAGGGGAGGGAACTTTCCCACCACAGAGGAATGGGTGGGCAGGGGGTGGACTGTCCCATGGCCTGGAGGGGACAGGTGGGGGCTTGGGCCTTGCTGTTGTTCATCTTGGGGGAGACTTGGAAGGTCAGGCGACGTGGTACTTACATGAGGCTGCCCCAATAGGGGGCTCCAGGGACACTCTGTCATGCTGGCAGAAGCAGATGTAGAACCCGTGCGTGCCCATCACCGAAGGGCCGGGAGCCCTCGCAGGGAGATGGGAGCTCCCACTCCACCATGTGACTCAGATGAGGTTTGGAGGAAGGTTCTGAGGTGGCAGAAACACTTGCTCCTGGACAGTGTCCCCTGTGGTGAGCGAGCAGGTTCTCTCCTGGGTTTAGGAAGAGTCTTGTCGGGGACATCCGGTGAACCTGGAGCCAGATCCAGAGCACCCACCCCTCGGCCATGCTCTAAACCAGCGGTCGCCAGCCGGTGGTCCGTGAGGTCCAAAAGGTTGGCGACCACTGCTGTAAACCATGTGCACTGAGCCTGGGCATTCCCCATGCCCAGTGGGTGCTCACTGCCCACCCAAGGCCAGAGCTCCCCCATCTCCAGCAGCGCAGTCCCTGTCCCTCACCCTGCATCTTGGCCGGTTTGCCTTCGCCTAACCCTAGCCCCTCCCCCAGGAGCCTTTCTGCCATCTGCCTGGTCCCGTGGTTTCTCGGTCCCAAGGCTCACAGAACCCTTCCCTGGGCCCTGTGGTCAGTCCCAGGGCCCACCCCAAATCCCTGCCCCATCCTTGTCAAAGCCAGACAGAACTGGACAGGACAGGGGGGGGGGGTGTAATGGAACCATGGAGCAGTGGCCCTGCAGCTCAGAGAGGCAGTTAGTAATCTCCGAGTTCTTTATCTAAATCCAAGAATTTCCTCCCATCTATCTCTTCTCCCCACACCCTCCTCCACCCCAGCTTGCCTCCTCCTCGGTGCTAAAGATATTTTTGGCTTGTCCAACATGATTTCACAAACAGTAGGAATCCTGGTTTCATCAGGGGCAGCACAGCTGGGCAATTAGATCCCCGGGATTTGCAGAAGCACAGTCGGAGCACTGCTGTTTAACAAGAGGAGAGGCAGCTTTGATTAAACAATTACTCTGTTAACAATTCCATGTGTGTATGTGAGTACAGGGTGGATATGTGTGCATGTGTGTGTACATATGTGTATGTGTGTGTACATGTGTGTCGTATGCCGAGAGCTCCCAGAGAGTTTCGGGTCCAAGTCTGCAGTCGAACATTAACCTGGGGCTGTCCCCAGGCAGGTGCCCGCATGCCCCTTCACCCTGGGCTCGGCTCTGCGTCTCTCAAATCCAGCTCAGGCTTCTGGCCCAGCCCCCAACAGGTCCTGTCCTAATGGTCATGGCTGTGACTGTGGGTGTGCGAAGACCCTAAAACCGGCGCTTTGTGCAGAGGATCTGGGGTGCTTTGGGGAGATGCTCCCAGGAGAACAGGACTGGGCGGAGCAGTTGGCTAGCCTGCCGTGTGTCTCCGTGAGGACGGTCAGACTGAGGCTGGTGTCTGGGCCTTTGTGTCCTCAGATTGGCAGTCACTGGTGTGACACAGGCTGTCCACCCCATGGCGGGAGAAGAGGGTCTTCCTTTCGGAGCCACCCTCTGCGTCCCCCGTGTGGGTGCAGGGATGGGGAGAGGAGCCTCCCTCCGACTCTTGGACACTGACTTTTTAGTAAGGCTGTGTTTCTTTCTATGTTCACTATCATTTGGAGGCTTTTAAAAATATATTTTTTAAATAACGTTTTCTCTTCTGCTATTTTTTTTTATTTCTGAAGATTCTTGCCATCCTCTCAATCTCTCTGCTCCCCAGCTAAGACAGCGTGTCTCCACAGGGGCGGGGGCATGGTCTCAGAGCTGGGTACACTACCAGGTGTTCAGGGTCTAGGACACGGACAACCTGCCACCCTTCCCTCCCCCAGACTGCCAACTGGAGTGGGCCAGGTGGGACTTCCACACCCGGGAGGTATCCTCAGTGTCAGCATCCACTCAGACCATGATGAGTCGGGATGGAGGCTGAAGTCCTGTCCCTCTGTGCCCCTCCCTCCCTCCTCCAAAGAGACGTGTTTGGGAGGCGTTAGGCAGTATCTCCACTGTCCATGTGGATTTTTTCACAGGGAACCTTGCTCTTAACAGACAACTCAGCTTTGCGGGACTCCTGTGCAAGATCTCACTTTGCCTTGAAGCAGTTCTGAGAGCTTTGTATTAGGCCACTTCCTAAGCTGGGAACCTTGGAGGAAAGCAGGCCCAGCTTACAGACTGTCCTGCAATGAAGGGATCACTGTTCTTGGAAATGCAGGGTCTGCGAATTTTAAGCCTGTGTTCTTCACAACACTTTTAGGTCATTTTAATTTTTAAACTTTTTTCCCTTCTTTAGTGGTTGCTAAGGTGGGGTTTTAGTGTGCATCTTTAACTTTCCAGGCTCTTGCCCGTGACATCGGCCTCTTCATGCATAGACAGACTGTGGCTATTATTGCTATGCATCTACTTTTGTCACACACCCACACTACCTTCTTTTATTTCTGTTAAGCGGTTACTCCTAAAGAGAAGTCAGTAGTAAGGAAATGGTGTCTGTTTCCTGGCTCTGCTATTCTTCCTGCCTTGGCTCACCCTCAGTTCTGTCGGCAGCATTTCCTCCTGCCTGCAGACACGCTCCCATCTGGTGCTGGTCTGCTGGTAAGGAACTTCGTCAGCGTCTTTGTGTCTAAAAACGTCTTTAATTTCACCTTCATTCTTGAAAGATACTTTTGCTGGACATGGGATTCTAGATTGACTGGTTTTTCTTTTAGTTCCTGGGAAATGGTGCTCTACTACCTTCTCACCTGCACTGTTCGTTGTGGGAATCTGCCATCATCTCAGGCCACACCCCCAGACCCGCCTGGGCCCTCTTCTCTCTGGGCCCTGGCACCCAGCTCAATGCTGGCATGGTAAAGAAAATGGAGGCAGGGGAGAGCCACAAAGCACGACATGCCACCCAAATACCACTGGAGACACCGAGTTTTGGCAACCAGACTGCAGAGCAGTGGGCAGCTACGTTTCAGGAGCAAGTTGGAGTGTTCCCCCTGCTGCACTGTCAGTCCTGGTGGCTTATTCCAGCCAAGTCCAGCCTGGCCCCACATGTCCTCCAACCCTAGTGGGCAGCCCCGGCCATCTCCTGCAGCTGCCAGGACCACAGATGGTGGCACTGTCTCTCCTCATGAGCCAGCAGCAGCCTGCACTCAAGTACCCTGGAGTGGGAGCCACACCATAGCCCTGGCCTACAGCAGTCTGTTTAAGGAAGGAGCTGCCCCAAGATAGCAGTGTGTTCAGGGCTGTATTGCTGATGCTTTCTGCCTGTGGGCAGGTGGACTCAGCCTGCAAGGGTGATTGGGCTCATGTTTATTCATAAGCACTAGGCTGTTTAGGCAAGAATTGGGGTTTCTCATCACCAGCTCCTTGCTACTAATCCTCAGTGGCCAAGGCCCCACAGCTACAGAATGGAGGGCCACAGCCACCTGTTGGCCCTGGGCAGACACTGGGGGCCATGTGTCCTGCAGCCCGCTGTCTGCATCATTCCGGCCTGGCCTGAAGGTTGTTGTCAGCAGATTGGAGTCCCTGTGTCCCAGGAGGCTGGGAACTGCCACCCCAGGGAGCATCCAGTGCTTCTGCAGTTTCCTTGCAAAAGGGCATGTGGCCCGGGTGTGACTTCAGAGAGCAGGGAGCAGCAGCTCTTGTCTGCCCAGAAAGGGCCCGGGAGGGAGAGTGTGGGCCTGCAGCCTAAGGAGGGGTCCCGAGCAGAGCCTACGGGTGTGGGACCCAGCATGTGGCCGCACACGGGAGGACACACCATGTAATGGGGAGCCCCTCAGGGGAGTCGGGGCTACAGGCTAGAGCCACCCCTGGACTAGCGCTGGTGCTGCTTGAGTGCTGGCTCTGGTGCAGGGAGGCCGCCTTCTCCGCCCGTCCGGCTAAGGCTGCTGCAGTGACCAGGCTGCAGGTGGGCTTATCCTCACCCCCACCCCGGGGGGCAGAGGGGCATCTCTGTTAGCGTGTCCTGCAGGAGGGCACCCTCCTGGAACAAGCGCAGATATGACCAGGCCGGGAGGTGGGTGCCTTCTGGGCCTGGAGTTCCTGCCACTCAGGTCACGCTTGTCTCTGCAGAGGCGTCCTGGCCCCGTATGCTGTGCCCTCGGAGCTCCTGCTGGTGGAGGAGATCCCAAGGAACCAGATGGGGAAGATCAACAAGAGGGACCTGGTCAGGCAGTTCTACCCGCACAGCCAGGGAGCACCGGAGGCCAGGCACCCGTGAGCCAGCATCCGCTCTACACCCAAACCCCCAATTGGGTGGAGCAGAGTCCGGCCTGATGGAGTAGATCACAGCCAGAGGCCTCCTCTGTCCGTCCATGTGGCCACATCCACACCTTTGCCTGGTCAGGCCCCAGGAGGGTCCAGGTGTCACTCAGGGATGCAGTCCCCACAGGAAATTGAGTAAAGCTTCTCAGAGGAAAACGCCTGTGCTGTGCTGTGCTGTGCTGTGCTGTCTACCCGGGGCTGCGTGGGGCTGTGCACAGGGACAAAGAACGTACTTGTCTGCACACACGTGCACACCACGCAGCCTGGGGTGTCCCCCCATTGTCCAGGATGCCCATGCCTCCGCCTCAGGTGGCCTGGACCCCTGCAGAGCCTCCTGATTGAACCCTGACTGCATGAGGAGCCCATCTGGAGGACAGGCCCAGGCATCCAGGTGAGGGGGTTTGGGCGTGCCATCATCCCTTCTGTCCTCCCTGGGGTTTCCCACTGTGTCTCTAGGACAGTCCACGTCACAAGAGTGGCTTCACTGAGCCCCAGGGAGTGGCAGAGGCTCATGTAGGCCTTCAGGCCAAGCCGACCACCATAGGGACAAAGCTCAGGCAACCAGAGGGCCAGGGAAGCTGAGTGTCTGGACCCCCTGCTGAGCAGCTGGGTGCAATCCCTCAGCCCCCACAAAGGGCCCACAAACTTCTGGGCTGGGCCAGGTGGCCTTATTTCAGTCTCTGTGGCTACATGGTCCCTGTGGAGCCACTCACCTCCATGGTTGTGGTGTAGATCCCGCTGTTCTGTGGCATCCAAATCCTCTCAGTAGCCAGAGGCTGACCACCAGTGGCCCTGCAGCTGCTCCACCTTGATCCTTAACCCCCACCCCCTCCATGCTGTCCCCACCACATACCCCTGTACTCCCACAACCCTCCTTTCAGTCTTTGTCTAAATGCCACCTTCTCCTTCCCAGACCCTCCCCCCAGACGGCCCTGTCCTCCACACTCCTGGCCACAGTTGCACAGACCTCAGCGTTCCCACTCCCCGCTCTTGGCCGTGTTGATTCCGATGCACGGGTGCCCTTTGTGCACTCTGAGCAGAGAATCCAGAGGCTTCTGGACAGTTTACCAGAGACCTGGGCAGCTCCTCTGCCCACAGCTGGTGGGAAGTGGCCCTCACCGCACAGCAGGAGTCTGGCCCTGACTTTTCCAGAACCTGTCTCCATACTGTGTGTCTGAAAGAGCAGCAAATCGTGGGAACTGGAGGAGCCACCCCAGCCCGTGCAGGGGTGCAGTGCCTTATTGAGAGGCTGTAGCTGGTGAGAGAGGCGGGACTGGAACCACCTCCCGCCCTCAGCCCCGCCTGTGGCCTGTGACTCCCCAAGGCCTGACCCTGGGTGTGGGATTTGCTCAGAGGAACATCCAGCCCCAAGCTCCCTCCTTCCTGAGGTCTGGACATGAACGCCAGTCACCCACCTACCAGGCAGGCCCCTTCGAGGGGCTCAGCCGCTGTGCCCACAGCTGGCTCCTCTAGAGGGGAGCCCTCCACACCTCGGTGGACACCCGGCTTCCCCCTGTCCTGTGGCCTCCCTGTGGTAACTAGGGAATCACATAACCACATGCTGCTGAGAGAAGTCAGACTCGACACTGCAGGGTCTTCCCTAATCCCAGTGATTTGACGCTAATTCCTAAAAATGGTTACATAATTACTTGCTTTATGCTGTAATCTATGTCAGACACTTTCTGAAAATGACAGTCACCTTCGGCAAACAGCAAGAGGACAGAGGATGTTGATTTGTCCTTGGAACAGGTCCCTCTAAGGACACAGAACGCTGGGCCCCACTCGTTAAGTCAACATGATGGAGGGTCACGAGGCTTCCGGGAAGTCCCCCTTGCTAAATATGCCCCCTACACACACCTGAGGCAGCCCCGCCCACCCCACACTCGCTCCCCCAGTGAAGCCAGCAGCAGGCACCCTGGGAGCTGAGCTGTGACGGCCTAATTGACAGCCCATCTGCCTTCGGCCTCACTGGGCGGCGCTGAGCTGGGGCTGAACTCACTGAAAGGCGGCCCGGATGCCCAGGGTTCCTGATGGGGCTGCTGCGCAGACAGGCCGCCGCCTCAGCAGAGGGAAGGCCAGCCTGTGCCTCCAGGATCGCTCAGGAGGGAGCACACCTGGCTCAGCGGGTCCCCGAGTCCTACCATGTCCCTCCTGGACATGACTCATTAGCGGCCACGGGGAAGCCCAGCTGCCTCCACGTCCACCCAGCGTCTGTGTGTGCAGGCACCAGGCCAGCCAAGGTAAGAGCCCCCTGAGGAGAGACAGGCTTGAAACAGCCCCTCCCAGCACCCCGGCCCGTGCCCTCTGCCTGCGTTTCCCTGTTCTGTGATCTGAGGCTGGTGCTTCCTCTGGGCTCCTCGGGTTCTAACCAAGGGCTGAGGGCTTCGCTTCCTCAGAAGTTGAGTCTGGGGGCTGGCGACGGCACACGGCTCCACCTAGGAGCTCCCCAGCCCTCCTGGCTCCCCAGAGGAGGCCAAGCAGGAAGTCAGGGCAGGGCATGGAGCTCTAACTAACAGCCGGGGCCGCACAGGCCAGGCCGCCGGCACCCACTGCCCAGGCACCAGGCACTTCCGTGTCCACCAGTCTCAGCCACGGCTCAAGTCTTTGTCTAATCGCCACGCTGGCCCTGCTGCCCCACCTGCGGCACAAGGTTCCCAGGGGTGAGGAATGCGCCACAGCCCCTGTGTTCACATCCGGCCCTCTGTCTCCCTCTGGGGAGGCATGGGCCTCGCCCTGCCACCCTCACACGTGGGACTTAAAAATGTTCTCCTGGACCAGGCTTCCCCTGCAACATTCCTCCCGAGTCACCCCAGAGCAGGGGCCACAGCAGAAAATGTCACAGCCGCAAACAGAACTCCACAGTGCCGGGCCCCAGGACCAACAAGATGCGCCTCGTGTCCTGGAGAGAGTCCAGACCCCCAAGGGCCAGGGGATCGGACTCTCCAGGTGTGTCCGTAAGCAGAGCCGCCTGCCACCCTGGTCCCCAGCCAACACACGTGGGGCTGGGACCCACTGGCAGCCCAGACCCCGGGAGCAAGATCCCAAGTCTGCCTGCTCAGAGCCTGAGGGCCCCGCCAGCACCCTGAGAACCAGGCCAGGGAGCGCGGAGCCTGGCGTTCCTGTCTGTGAAGGGATCTGGAGATAGTCCCTGCTCCAGCCCACTGGGAGGCAAAATGAGACCGTCGTGCAGAAAACGGCAGCTCACTGCCCATTCTAGATGAGATAACTATAAAAATAGGTACAGTGCCGGGCTGACTTTAAGCAACAATGAATAAGAGGAATTACCTACAGGTGTACATACCACACACACATATCCCTGCATATATGTGTGTGCTCACACACCTGCTTAGACATGTGCTCAGACACCCCCACATACACATGTGTTCACACGTCTGTATACATGTGTGCTCACCAACATTCCTGTATATGTATGTGCTCATACACATGCCCACACAGCTACATACACACATGTGTACCCACAGACATCCTTGCATGTATACCTATGCACGTGCACACGCACACATACACACATGCTCTGTGACACACACACACCCCTGTTTAGGGGTTGAGTGGGACCAGGAATATAAAGCAGTTTTCCAAGAGTCCTGGGAATCACCTTAAACTCCAAAGTCCCAACTCTTTTTCTGTTTTATGTTGAGTTTTTACATGAAAAAAAAATTGAAGACAAATTCCAGCACTAAACAGTAAATTTGAAAACTAGCTCAGTTCTTAAAATGGTCCTGTGCTGTCACCAACAAACGGTAGGTGTTGGCGAGGGTGCGGAGAAAAGGGAACCCTCCTGCACTGCTGGTGGGAATGCAGACTGTGCAGCCACTGTGCAAAACAGTATGGAGTTTCCTCAAAAAGTTAAAAATGGAACTCCCATTTGACCCAGTGATCCCACTTGTAGGAATATATCCCAAGAAATGAGAAACACCAATCAGAAAGAATGTATGCACCCCTATGTTCATAGCAGTGCAATTTACAATAGCTAAGATCTGGAAACAGCCCAAGTGCCCATCAGCAGATGAGTGGATAAAAAAGCTGTGGTACATCTACACCATGGAATACTATGCAGTTGTAAACAAGAAAGAACTCTTACCATCTGTAACGGCATGGATGGACCTGGAGAGTATCATGCTAAGTGAAATAAGTCAGAGAAAGACAAGTATCATATGATCTCACTCACATGTGGAATCTAGTTAACAAAATAAACATGAATGGAGTGGATCCAGAGACATGGAGGCAAGGAACAGACTGTCGAACCTCAGAGGGAAGGCGGGGAGGGGAGGGTGGGAAGAAAGAGATCAGAGAACTTGTATGCATATATGCATAACCCATGGACACAGACTATAGGGTGGTGAAGGTGGGGGGGGGGGCTAGAAGAGGTCAATGCGGGGGAAAGGGGACATATTTAATACTTTCAACAATAACGTGTGTGTTTTTAATGGTCCTGTGCCGT